GTTGTCCATCGATGGACTTTCAGATTGGTTCCAACTCTTGGCTGCTGTAAATAGAGCTGCAGTAAACATGGGAGTGCAAGTATCCCTTCGACATGATGATTTCCATTCCTTTGGGTATATAACCAGAAGTGGGATTGTAGAATCATATGTAGTTCTTTCTGTAGTTATCTGAGAAACTCTATACTGTTTTTCATAATGGCTGTACTAGTTTACAGTCCCACCAACAGTGTAGAAGAGTTTCCTTTTCTCCACATCCTCACCAGAATTTGTTAATCTCTGTCTTTTTGGTAATATCCAGTCTAACTGGGGTGAGATGATATCTGGATAGCTCAGTTGGTTAGACTGCAACCTTACAACACCAAGATCATGTGTTCAGTTCCCCATGACGGTCAGCTGCCCCCCACTCCCCCCCCCAAAAAAAGAAAAAGAAACAGTCAGGACAGAATTCTTTAATAATCCAATTTGAAAACGGGCAAAGGAACTGAATAGACATTTTTCAAAGGAAGACATACAAATGGCCAACAGACATGAAAAAATGCTCAACATCACTAGTCATTGGGGTAATGCAAATCAAAACCACATTGAGATAACAATGAGTTTTAATAGAAGCAAAGGGTTCTATCTATTTCAACCTCTACTGAATTAATACATATTGGGTGCTTCTTATGTTTCAAGCCCCTTGTTAAGTACATGTGTGCCTTATTTTGCTTTTCTGTCTTGCAGACATTTTTGGTTGTTACAAACTGGGGGCAATGGGGGGGGGTTACTGGTATCTAGTGGGGGGTGCAGGGAAACTGCTAAGTGTCTTACCGTGCAGCTCTCCTGCACCACAGAACTGTCCAGCCCATAATGTCGATAGTGCTGACACTATCTAGAGACAGAGACAGAGATGGAGACAGAAATCTGGCTCTGGAACATTGTACAGATTTTGCAATTAAGTAGTTGTGTGACCTTGAAGGACATCACATACTTCAGTTTCCTAATATGTAAGATCAGGACACTGCCTATCATAGATTACGAGATGTTGTGTTTGCTAAGTTAGAGAGTACACACACATGTCGAAAGTCAAAAGAAAAGAAAAAAGTCAAAAAGGCTGGACAAATGGATGGGAAATGCTGCTGATTGGAAAGTTAATTGGTACATTATTGAATGGAGATCTATAAACAAGTAAAAAAAAGGCTAAAACATGAAATTTTAGAAATTCATTCTAAGGGATAAAAAAAGAAGAACAAGAAGGCATTGTTTACAAAGGTGAAAAGTTGGAAACAAGGGGTGGAGTATTGTCAAGGTCTTTCCAATAGTGTGTCTCAAGCTGGCTGAGCAAGTTCTTATGAAATCAGCCACATCGCTTGTGTGTGTAATGGTTGTCTGAACAGGGCAAGCTGGGCTATACCCTCCTTTTTATGTTATAAAATCTGATTGCTGCAGTGCTCTCCAAGGTAAGCTAAGGTCATACAGGGCCGAAACAAATTTCTCCTCATTCGTGTTTTTCCTTTTCCCTCTTCTGTTCATACATTTTCTTTCTTCTCACTTCTGAGCCCGCTCCACCCTCTCTGCTACCAGGGGCAGAGAAAGCCTGTGAACACCTCAGGCTGAGGAAAAACAGGTGAGAATGAGTGTTCTAAAATTAGGACACAAGCCTTTCTCCAGACCATCTCCAACCTCAATGCTATTTCTGAATATTTTTCATACCACCAGTCTAAACTAATATTTTAGCAGAAAACATAGACCCAGCTGGACAACAGATCAATAGGCTATTTGGTGTGAACTTAAATAGCATGAAAAAATATTTAAATACTTCATTATTGATGTTCTATTCAACTCACCAAATATTTATTTATGTGTGTGAGGGGCCATGGTAGGCTGGGTGGTCCAGAGCGGAGGAAGACGGTAAGTATCCCAAGGGGCTTGGAGCTAGTTGAGGAGCTGGGTGGTTGCCCAACTAATTGGGTGACAATCAACCAAGACTCAAGTGCTTTGAGAGTGCAGTTGAGGGCGGACTTAATTGTAACCAGGATTACACATATATTACATTTTTATTTATAAATGTATATAAATATATACTTTTAGTTATAAATAATATACCTCCTTTCAGTTGAACTACTGTTGAGGGGTAAACTCATGAAGAGTTGTGGTTAAAGATCTTTGATTTAGTATCAAACAAACCAGGGTTTTGATTCCACCTCCAACAC